AGCATCACCCATATTAAATCTCTGAAGAACACGTTTGATGTACTCTGATTGTGATAACTGCAAAGTGCCTCTCTGCTTATCTCTTGTGATTTGCATTCCTAAAATCTTCTTTGCTGGACCCAAGTCCTTCATGTCAAATTCCTTTGACAATTGATGATTCAACTTTATAATATCATTCATATCAGAACCTGCTATTAACATATCATCAACATAAAGTAATAGGATGATATAACTGGATTGATATCTCTTGAAGTAGCAACAGTGGTCAGCGTTGCACTTCTGGAAATCTTCCTTGTGCATGAAGTTATCAAACTCTTTGTACCATTGTCTTGGGGCTTGTTTTAGCCCGTATAAACTTTTCTTAAGTTTGCATACCATCTGCTCTTTCCTACTTTTTATAAAACCTTCTGGCTGGTGCATGTATATTTCTTCATCAAGATCTCCATGAAGAAATGCAGTCTTCACATCTAACTGCTCGAGATAAAGATCTTCAATTGCAACAATACTCAACATTGTTCTAATGGTATTGAGTTTCACAACAGGAGCGAATATCTCATTATAATCAACTCCTTATTTCTGTTGAAAACCTTTGACAACTAGTCGAGCCTTATACCTCTTGGAATCATCGTGCTCCTTTTTTGCTCGATATATCCATTTGTTATGAAGGGCCTTCTTACCTATGGGTAACTCAATTAGTTCCCATGTCTGGTTTGAAATCAGGGATTGCATTTCATCTTTCATTGCAAGCCCCCACTTGCTAGCATCTCTGGTCTGGGATGCTTCATAATAATCTTTTGGTTCCCCATCATCAGTTAATAACAAATAATTCATATATTTTCTATTAGGCACATGTGGTCGATTACTCCTTCTTAGGGTAGGAGTTGGACAAGAAGGTTGTTGTATGTCATTTGATTGCGATGTACTGCCCTGTACAGTCTGTTCTTCTTGTTGCGGAGTACTTATGATAGTGTACTCTTGCATCGTACTGTCTGGGACATAATCTTCATCAATGAATGTAGATTCTTTTTGATTTGTTTCATAACTCTCAATTTTATGCCTATCTTTGTACATGACTCTCTCATTGAAAATTACATCTCTTGAACGAATAATCTTTTTGCCTTCATCATCCCAAATGCGGTATCCGAACTCATCTTCGCCATAACCGATAAAAGTGCAAACTTTTGATTTAGGATCAAGCTTATTTCTACCTTGATCACTAATGTGCACATAAGCTACACAACCAAATACCTTTAAGTGCGACAATTTGATCTCTTTGCCGCTCCATACCTCCTCTGGTAATTTGTACTCCAATGGGGTTGATGGTCCTCGATTGATCAAGTAAGCCGCTGTATTGACTGCTTCTGCCCAGAATTGTTTTGGTAGACCTGACTGTATACGAATGCTTTTGGCTCTTTCTGTCAATGTTCGGTTCATCCGCTCAGCTATGCCATTATGCTGAGGCGTACTTGGCACAGTTCTTTCCATCTTAATAACATGCTCGTAGCAAAACTTCTTGAATTTGGTGTCCTCATATTCTCCGCCATTGTCGGACCTGAATCTTTTGATCTTCAGACCTGTTTCATTTTCAACCCTAGCTTTCCATATCCTGAAAACTTCAAACACTTCGGACTTGTATTTTAGAAAGTAAACCCATACTTTCCTAGAGTGATCATCAATAAAAGTCACAAAGTACTGTTTTCCACCTATAGACTGGGTGGTTGTTGGTCCCCACACATCAGAATGAACAAGCTCCAATTTTTCTTTCATTGGAGTTCTTCCATATGTCTGAAAGCTTACCCTCTTCTGCTTTCCAAGTATGCATTCTTCACACATGTCTAAATTCACAGATTTTAGACTAGGGAGTTTTCCAATTGAATGCATGATCTTCATTCCTTTCTCACTCATGTGACCAAGTCTTTGGTGCCATAACTTGGAATTTTCATTCTCTGTTGCAACTGCAATCGAATAACACGCTCCAGCTGTCAAATAGGGAGTACCATTCTTTTTACCATGAGCAACTATCATTGCTCCCTTTGAAATCTTCCAATTATCACCTTGAAAGATTATAGTGTAACCTTCACGAGCCAACTGCCCAACTGAGATCAAGTTCTTTCTTAGGTCGGGAACATGTTTGACATCCTTCAGCTCCCAAGCTGACCCATTTAACTTAATTTTGACATTACCTTGACCAACAATATCACAAGGTTGGTCATCACCAAGGTATACCTGTCCAAGGTTTCTATGAACATACTTCTCAAAAAAGTTTTTATTAGAAGTAGCATGGAACGATGCTCCAGAGTCTAATACCCAAGACTCTTCTTTGCTCTCCAATGAGCATATCAACGCATCATCACCTTCTCCGGTAGAAGTGACATTTGCCTCTGCCTTCACTTCTTTGCCTTTTGGTGTTCCCTTGCACTGATTTTTATAGTGCCCAATCTTTCCACAATTCCAACACTCCATAGTCTTTGAGTTTTGGAAATTATTTGGATTCCTGGATTTTGACCTCCTATCTCTGGATTGTCCTCGATAGTTTGATCTTCCGCGTTCATTCCTTCTGATTAAATTTCTTCCTCTTGACTCTGTATGCAATACTGAAGAGGATGAAGATTCACCTGATTCTCTTCGTCGAATCTCCTCACTAAGAACCAGATCACGAACGTCATCAAACTTCAACTTGTTATTTCCCGATGAGCTACTCACAGTTGTGACTGTAGCATTCCAACTATCTGGCAGGGAAGATAAAAGTATTAACGCTAATACTTCATCATCAAATTTGATTTCAACATAACTCAATTGGGTTGTGACAGAATTGAGTTCATTAAGGTGTTGAGCTACCGATCCACCTTCCGACATCCTCAAACTAAACAACCGCCTCATCAAATGAACTTTATTGGAGGCTGATGGCTTCTCATACATATTAGAGAGAGCTTTCATGAGACCTGCCGTTGTGGTTTCCTTTGCAATGTTAAACGCCACATTGCGTGATAACGTCAATCGAATAACTCCGAGTGCTTGTCTATCTAAAAGCTTCCATTCTGCTTCTTGCATGCCATCTGGCTTTTTCTCTTCCAGAGGTTGATAGAGTTTTTTCTGGTATAAATAATCTTCAATCTGCATTTTCCAAAATCCGAAATCTTTACCATCGAATTTTTCAAGTTTAACTTCTCCTTTGTCTGCAGCCATTTCTCCCACTCAAATTTGACTTTTTCTTTTAGGATCGTTTTTATTTTTATCGTAATGTGGACTAATTGTCAACCAAGCTCTGATACCAATTGTTAAGAAAATAATGCAAATTTTCTATTTAATCAAATTTGAGGGAGAAATAAATTACATAAACAAAATGTCTATTTATACCAAAGTGCAAAAAACACAACCCCTCTTTTCTCTGAGTTATTTTTCTTCTCTCAGATTTTCTCTTAAAGTTATTACATACAAATGAAGGAAATGCTCAATTTATAGTTTTCCTAAAACAACCTAAGCCATTTAAAATTTAGCCTGCAATATTTATTACCATTAGTTATTTTTCCCTATATTTGGAAACACCTTTAATTTTCAATGGTAATGCATGGTTATTTAATAACCATTTATTTTTTTTTCTTTATGTTTCTTAATTATCTGCCAACAGGATCAAAGCCAAGGAAACACTAGTAGAGTTGTTGGGACTTAGTGAGTGCAATTTTAAATTTTGTTCTCGTTAAAAATAGAAACAAAAACAACATTTTGTTCACATATTTATACAATATTTTCCTGCAGTGGCTACATGTCTCCAGAGTATGCAATGCATGGAAAATTCTCTGTTAAATCGGACGTGTATAGTTTTGGTGTGCTAGTCTTAGAAATCATAAGTGGCAAGAAGAACAGTAGCTTCTACCAACCAGGCTATGCTCAAGACCTTCTAAGCTACGTGAGTCCTCATTATATATGCTTCTTATTTTGACTTTAACAACCAACATTTCATGGGAAATTGAAGGATATGATTTGTTATGTAATGAGAGTGCAGGCTTGGAATCAATGGAGAGATGTCAAGCCCTTAGAATTCGTGGATCCAACGATAAGAAACTCGTGTTCATTTAACGAAGTCTTGAGATGCATGCACCTTGGTTTGTTATGCGTTCAAGAGGCTGTGGATGAAAGACCAACAATGGCAAGGGCAATGCTGTTGCTGGATGTTCACTCCACAGTTACTCCTCCTGTGCCGAAAGAGTCGGCCTTCTTTATTAGGAGCACAACTGGATCGAACAGTTTTAAAAAAAGGCGTTGATTCAGATCAATCAACCAGAAAATCTGTCCCTATATCTATGAATAATGATGACTCTGTCACTGAAGTTGAACCTAGATAGACATGAGTGATTAGAGATGACGAACATATATACTTGAGCATCGATCATTATTCTACGCTTACCAAGCATCAAGGTGAGGTGAAATCTACTTTTTATCTCATAAATATTGATGTTTGTACTGTACCATTATTATATATGTCTAATTGCTTATGTTGATGTTTTTATTGTATTGTTATTGTATACAAGCATAGCTTAAGTTACAATGTAACAAACTCCCTCCATTTCGTGATAATCATAACACTAGACATTGTACACAATTTTTGGATAAAATTAGGGTGAAAACCAAAGTGGAATGTAATAATTTCATTTGCATTTTAAAAGTAAACGAACTTAGTTTGTCACTATCCTATTAGTACTCTTACACGAAGTATATGTTGTAGTAGTTGGACCATCTTAATAATTGCCAACTGAGGGTAAGATCAATGCGCATATTGTGCTTCGTATGTTATTAAGCTTTCATTCGATAATCGATAATACACCAGGCCAGGACCACCGCATCGTACATGATTATTCTTATTATAAAAAACTCCTTTATAAAATGTTAGATTTTTTTGTCAACAATTACCTTTTAAGTTACCACTTTAGCAAGCAATTACATTTTACGAACAACTACCTATTAAATTACCACTTTTACATTATATTTAAGTGAAATTTGAAATGCTCTCTGAAATGCTCTCTGCGAAACCCATCCTTGTGAGGGAAACCCCTTCTCAAGGTTCCTCCCAAAAGGAAAACGACCAAGGTTCCTCCCAAGAGGAAAATGACCAATTTGCTCGCTCCACTAAAAAATACAAACGCAAGATCACCCATCTCATATTCAATAGAGATTCACCTCAACCTCAACAGCCTGTTCATCCAATCAATCAGTCTAAGCAGCCTAATTCAATGTCATATAGGGATATGGTGAGACAAGACCAGATGCAGGGGAACCTTCTCCATCAATCTGATACCCTTAATGATGATGATGATGATTATTCTGATGATGATGAAGCACCTGAGGGGGTGATAGACGATCCTCGATGCCCGGTCATTCTACTCACTAAGGAGGAGAAAATGAGAATTAGGAAGCCCTGGAAACACACACTCATCATCAAGATGTTTAATAGAAAAATTGGCTATATGGCTTTGATGAAGAGATTGAAGAAAAAATGGGAACTCAAAGGTGGTTTGATACTAACGGATATTGGATATGATTATTTTATAGCCAGATTTTCTATTGTAGATGATTATAATCATGTGTTAACACAAGGGCCTTGGATGCTTGATGATAACTATCTCACTATTAGGAAATGGGTTCCAAATTTCATTCCTGATGATGCGCCTTTAAGGTTTCTGACTGCTTGGGTGCGTATCCCCAACCTCTCTGTGGAATACTTTGACAAAGAATTTCTTCTCAAGGTTGGTAATAAAATTGGGAAGGTTGTTAGGATTGACAACAACACAGCTATGGCTCAAAGAAGTCAATTCACAAGGCTAAGTATAGAATTGGATCTCTCTAAACCGCTTCTTTCTAAATTCTGGCTTAAAGGAAAGGTATTGAGAGTGCAATATGAAGGTCTGAGATTGATATGCTTCAACTGTGGCAAAATTGGTCACCAATCTGATAAGTGTCCTGCTGTCTGTGACAAAGAGTTAAATGGTGAAGCTGAGATGGATTTTAATCCTACTAATATCCCACTTGCTCCAAGAATTGAAGAAGAATATTATGGTTCCTGGATGATAGTGAAAAAACCACCACCAAGGAAGCGGAATCTGAGGCCGGAAAAAACAGCAGGACGGGCTCAAGCAACCCCAGCAGCCCGTCAAATTAAACCCAGGCCCAGCTAAGCCCATGGAGAGTCATAAGGCAAGTCAACAGGGATCAAGATTTGCAGCATTAGGGGAGATTAATCAGGAATAGAACAAGGAAATAGTTGATCTTGATGGATTTTTGGAGACTAATAATTCAATTCCGAGTATTTTTGAAACAGTTAACTTGGCAAAATCTTCGCAAGAAAAGATTGTTATGGGAAATTTGGAGAATAATATCCCTTTCAAGTTGGGATCCCATTCCGATAATCATGGCCAAAAGATTGATTCAACAAAAAAAGGAAAAGATACAAAAAAACAGAATATTCAAAATAAATTTATCCTAAATGATATAACTAATATTTCCTCAAAAGATTCTACCCCACCTCATATTGAAGCTATTAAAACTCCCACCCCTATGATTACTATCCAAGCAAACACAGTAGCCACCCCTAAGCCAACCCAAGCTAGCCTCGAAGACCCTCTGACTAAGTCACACAACACTCCCTCTGTAAGCCATGTCTCTGCTACACCCCTTTCCAATAATCCTACAGATCCCTCCAGACAAGATCATTCCTGTGACAGACTTGATGGAGGACCCATACTTGGTAATTGCAGACCCCCTGACTCACCAACTAGAGGTGGAGATACATTAATGATCTGTGACGAACCAAATGATGCCAGAGTTGTTGGTGACACTCAAGTTGCCAATTGACATTAAACGAACGTTGCAACTGCTTTTTGATGCACATAATGCCAGTTTCCCTAACTCAATTATGTCTATGAATAATCACAACCTTAACACTACCTCTCTCCCTATCACTTGTATGATATGGAACACACAAGGTACTGGAAGTCGAGAATTCATCAATGTATTGAAAGAAATTGTTAGAGTGAATAAACCATGTGTCCTTGCTCTTGTTGAGACACATATGGGAGGCGATCATGCTCAAAAAATAGCTTCTATTCTCAATTACAATGGCCACACGAGAGTGGATGCTCAAGGATATAGCGGAGGCATTTGGATTTACTGGAAGCCGGAATTGGTGAAAGTGGATCCAATTACCAAACATAATCAGTATATCACAATGATGATCACTAGAGTAGGTGAAATTCCGTGGTACTTCACTGCTATCTACGCTAGTCCTGACCCTTCAAAGAGGAGTGAATTATGGTATGAATTTAGGAAATTTGCTGATAATAACAACCAGCCTTGGCTACTTGCTGGTGATTTTAATGAGACAAGATACTCTTGGGAAAGAAATTCAAGCTGCCCTGAAACCTCCAGAAGGAGTGAAAGATTTAATGCGTGGGTTGATGACACCCAACTCCTCGAACTAGAATTCTCGGGCCCTTCTCACACTTGGGCTAGGGGAAATTCATATGATACATATCAAAGTGCAAGGCTTGACAGGGCTTTGTGTAACTCAGAATGGGGTTTACGGTTTGATCTGGCAAGAGTAAAACATTTTGCCAGCGCTGCAATCAGACCATACCCCTCTATTCATATCTCCCAATGGTTTCTCCCCTCTCTCGAATATTAGCAAGCCCTTTCGCTTTCAAGCAGCATGGCTGACACATGAAAAGTTCGAAGAATTTATCAAAGAAAAGTGGAGCCCCAATGATCCTTTAGTGCCTCTGCTCAAATCTTTTGCTGAAAACCTTCAAGAGTGGAATAAAAATGTTTTTCATAACATTTTCAGAGAAAAAAGATCTCTCATGGCCCGTATCAAAGGCATCCAGACTTCTCTGTCTAGACAACTCCAGCTTGATTAAAATGGAAGCAAGACTAAGACGTGACCTTGATCAAGTGCTTCAGCAAGAGGAGTTGCTTTGGTACCAGAAAGCTCGCGTGGATTGGTTAGCTGACGGGGACCGCAACACCACCTTCTTTCATTTAAGTACAGTGGTGAAAAGATGGAGGAACAAGATTGTCGCAGTTAAGGATGAAAACAACCAATGGATACATGATAAGGAAGAGGTGAAGAACCTAATTGTGAATTATTTTCGAAATCTCTTCACTGATGATGGTGTCCATGGGGAGTATAACATCCCTACAGGAATGTGTTCACCATTTTCAAGCTCGGATTTAGACAAATTGAGCAGACCTTACTCTAAATGTGATATTGATTATGTGATCCAGAATATGGGTTCCCTTAAAGCGCCGGGTTCGGATGGATTCCAAGCTTTATTTTATCAGAAAAATTGGGAATTAGTAGCCCCGAATGTCTATTCAATGGTGTTCTCTGTTCTTGAGGGTAAAGGTCTTCTAGATTCTGCAAATGACACCTTCCTAGTCTTAATTCCTAAGTCAGACAACCCTGAACTTCCCTCTCAATTTCGGCCTATAGGCCTTTGTAATGTCACATACAAGATCATTACAAAGGCTATAGTTAACCGAGTAAAAAGTCTGCTCCCTAAGGTTATCTCTTGTTCCCAAACAAGTTTTGTTCCCGGAAGGCAAATTACAGACAACATCGTGATAGTGCAGGAAGTAATCCACACCATGAAGAGAAAGCAAGGTGGGAAAGGTTACATGGCTCTGAAAATCGACTTTGAAAAAGCCTACGATAGACTCAAGTGGAGTTTCATTCGAGATACTCTGATTGTAATGAATTTCCCCCGGCTCATGACTGAAGTTATTATGGAGTGTGTGACATCACCTTCTATGAGAGTGCTTTGGAATGGCGAAAAAACCAAAGCCTTTAAACCTATAAGGGGCATACGTCAAGGAGATCCGCTCTCACCCTATCTATTTGTGCTTTGTATGGAGAGATTAAATCAAACCATTGAAGAGGCAGTTCTTTGTGATAGGTGGAAACCAATTTTCGCAAGCAGAGGAGGTCCCAGCCTTTCCAATTTATTCTTTGCGGACGACATAATGTTATTTGCGGAGGCTTCAATTGAGCAGGCAATAGTTATTCGTGACTGCCTAGATCGATTTTGTGCAGCCTCGGGAGAAAAGGTCAGTCTTCAAAAGTCTCGAGTGTATTATTCCAAGAATGTATCACAAGAAAATATTGAAGCAATTAGTGAAGCTTTGGGAATGAAGGCTACTGAAGATCTTGGCACGTATCTTGGAATGCCAACCTTTACTTCTAGAGTCACCAAGGAGACATTTGCGCACTTATGCGAGAAAATAGATAGAAGGCTCTCAGGGTGGAAGGCGAAATATCTGTCTATGGCTGGGAGAATTACATTGACAAAATCTACTGTCATAACTCTTGCAAATTATTCGATTCAAACCGCGAAAATCCCGATATCAATCTGTGACACAATTGATAAAAAAGCTCGTAGATTTTTATGGGGAGGCAACGAAGACAAAGCAAAAATTCACCTTATAGCCTGGGATACTGTTCAACTGCCAAGATGCAAGGGTGGCTTGGGAATCAGGTCTGCAAGTCAATCTAATTCAGCCTTTCTCACAAAGCTTGGTTAGAGAGTGATCGCGGAGCCAACTGCTTTATGGTCTCGTGTAATTCGTGCAAAATACTGCAAAGGTCGGTGTGATATTGATATGTTCACACCAACCTCTAGCATGTCCAACGTGTGGCGTGGTATAGTTGACAACGCGCACTTGATCAAGAAAGGATCGATGGTGGCTATTGGGAATGGTTGTCGAACATTATTTTGGGATCTCTGCTGGGTGACTGACTCACCTTTAAGGGAATTGGTAATCCTACCCATCCCAAGCTTAATTGAAGGAGCTACTGTCAGTGAGCTGTGGGACAAAAATACAGGGTGGTTGTGGGATGAATTTGCTCATTTATTATCTTCCGAGGTCCTAAAATTAATAGCTTCGCACAAGATAGCTGATAGTCCAGATGTTGAAGATGTTCGCTTCTAGAAAGGCTCAAGTTCGAGGAAGTTCTCAATCAAGCAAGCTATGGTATTATTGAAAGATGAGGATATGATTCCAAAGCACCATAAATGGGATCTAGCGTGGACTGTGAAAGCTCAGCAAAGAGTAAGGGTATTTATTTGGTTAACTCTTCACAATCGTGTTCTTTGCAACGCCAACAGACTTAGGCGTGGTCTCACTAATGATCCAAGATGTACCAGATGTGATGGGAACTTAGATGAAACCTTGTTGCACACTCTGAGAGATTGCCCTGCAGCTGCTGCTATATGGAGAAGCGTGGGAAGTTCTGCAAATCACCCTTCCTTTTGGGCTGGAAACCTTGAACAGTGGCTGATTCGTAATCTGGATGCTAGTAATATAATTTTTGATGATAAATGGTCCTCGTGTTTTGCAATAACTCTATGGTGGCAATGGAGGTGGAGAAACTCCTTGGTTTTTGGCAGAGGAACTGATATCCCACATCATACAGGGGAGTTCATTCTAGGCCAAGTAGAGGATGTTTGGAATGCATTTCATGATCCCAATCGCATTATCTCTTTGAGTTCAGGTGTGCAGCAACCTAGGAAGGAAATTTTGGTGAGATGGAAAGCTCCTAATGCTGGCTGGACAGTGTTGAACACTGATGGTGCTTCTAAGGGCACCCCTGGACTAGCAGGGGGTGGTGGCATTTTGAGAGATGATAACGGGGCAGTCGTGGGGGTTTCACAGCTAGCTTTGGTATTTGCTCTGCATACAGAGCAGAGTTACTTGTAGTTGAACTAGGACTGGAATTAGCTATGAGGAAAAGGATCAGCAAACTTGAGCTTCAAATGGACAATCAAGCCTGTATAGAAGCATTGAAGAATCCAGACATCCAAGGTGGAGAGTGTGTCCATGTTCTTAATAAATGTCGTTTCCTGTTAAATTGTTCTAGTTGGTCAGTTCGAGTCGTACATTGTTATAGGGAGGGGAATAAAGTAGCGGATAAGCTAGCTAATTTAGGGGTTATCCAAAGTGAGAAAGTGGCCTTCTTTGATGTTGCACCATCGGAGATTTGTGCTCTTCTAAATGAGGATATCATAGGAGTGGCTTTGCCACGTTTAATTTCTTAGTTTTCGTTTTTGTTTGTACGGGTTTATTACCTCTTTTGCACCAAAAAAAAAATTAAAAAAAAAAATAAAAAAAATTACCACTTTTACGGGTAGCACTAACAGTTGAGAGATTTTAAAACTAGTGTTAACTTTTTTTTTTTTTTTTTTTTGGGTGAAGTTAACTATTTGTTTATAGAATCTCTCTCTCTTTTTCCCTATGAATAATTATTTTTATATTTTTTTAACTCTCGTATTATGTGGCTTAATTAATCATTAAATAAGTCAATAATCACTTAAAAACTCAGGGAAAAAAAACGTTCTTTGTATAATCAGTTTTAATTTGAAGTCATTTTTGTTCGATCTTATTTATTTAATCACTTGCAAGTTACAAGTCATGGACTATATAAATTTCATTATATGATTTATATCTGACCAATTCTTTGATTCAAGACTATTCAACTACGAATAAGTTAACATTAAATTTGTTATATATTTTGTACAAACGTACGGTCTTCATGTCTTTTGCATCATTCTAACTGAATAACTATTTTTGTAATCACTTTGGATTCCTTACCTGCAAGTAATTGACTATCTTATTTATATAACCAGTTTTAATTTTAAGTCATTTGTTCATTCTATTCTGATCAAGTCATTTGTTCAATGTAATCTGATTTTTTTAATTAAATTACTTGCAAACTACGAGTACAAGTTATGGACTATATATAATTTATATACAGATAATGATCAATTATAAACTCTGTTTTCAAATGAAATGTCATCAGTTAACAAAAATATATGTCGATATCAATAATTAATACATGGCGTGCACAATACATTGGTTATCTTACACTACATTGCGCGTCAAAGATCATTTTCAATGATGTATCGATATGCTTGGTTGAATTCCTATCAATTCAACTATAAAGTAATTTGATCGTTTGCATCTGCTTTAGCTTGAAACCGTGCAAATCAGGAGCACAACAATGGCAACTTCTTACAATACAATACGAGTACTCGAAACCTTTATATTGTTCTGCTGTTTTTGTAGTCTTGTAAGCAGCGACAGCAGAGATTCATTCATTGCTAGACAAATCAGCAACAGTGTGGGTTGTTCGAGTACTGGAAATGCTAGCGATGCCTTCAGAAACAATGTAAATCTTCTTCTATCTGATTTCATCGAACATTCCTCTGCTAACAACTACTACAACACTAGCATCGGCGACAGCTCTGATCGAGTTTATGGCTACTACATGTGTCGAGCTGATGTTGACCTCAAAACTTGTAGCAGTTGCATACTTAACGGTACACAATCTGTTATGGAATCAACCTGTATAGAGCATGAAGACGTGATTCTCTTCTCGCAGTTGTGCATCTTTCGATACACAAACTACAGTACATATGGCATGTTCGAGGGTGCACTATCAGGGTCCGATCATATTGACGCAAATGTATCGAACTACCAGCAGTTTAATCGAACATTGTCATCGACGTTGAAAAATCTTATCAACGAGACTGCTTTTGGAAGCGAAAACAATGGATCTAGATTGCGTTTCGCTACCATAGAAGCCCGTGTAACAGAAGATGAGACAATCTATAGCTTGGCTCAATGCACACCTGATATAGCCGGCGTAAATTGTAGTCGATGTTTACAAATTGGAGTCTCTGACTTCAGCCGCTCTGCTAATCTATCTCCAGCTGCTTATACTTTAAAGAACAAATGTTACATCAGATATGATAATGTCTCTTTCTATGATTTCGGAGACTCGAATGTCAATGCAGGTGTTGTTTTAAGACCATCAAATTCTCTATTCGTCTACTCTGCTGTATTCCTGTTTGTATTGATGAACTTTCTTGTGCTTTGCTAGGCCTTGGACCGATTTATTTTTGTTGAAGTATCATGTACTATATTATTAATTTATGATACATAATTTTGTAATGTGGCTGTGTGTCTAATTTGCTATTATTTTGATACTTCAATTAAATTCTTATGGTTTGATGATAAGCTAGATTAATTTTTGCATCAAGAAAAGTTGTCAGCTGATTCAGTTCTTATACGATACAGTTTTCGATTTTAAGGTAGAGGCTTTTAGTCCTCCACTCCCTCCATATGTTACATTCAAACTCTTGTAATAGTTCATCCTATAATCACGAAAAGCAATGAGAACATTTCTTATACCGACTCATTAACCATATCAGCCTATTTCACCAGCCACGTGGAGACCTACTTCCGGCCATGTGAACATCCACCGGCCATTTGACAAGATAGCTACGTCGGCTGACACATGGCACTAGGTTGGGGGTTTATATAAATAGCCAAGCATAATGGAATATTATCAAGTATCAAGCTTGCTAAAGTCAATGATCTAGCATGTATCCTAGAACTTTCCTTTCTTGAAATATTACTTTGTTCTTCGAGTTGACTTTCTGCTTTTATAAGAATTAAAACTATTTTGATCTTAGTGCATCCATGGGATACACAATAACACTCTTTTGCATCACAATTTTATGCTTAGTTGACAAATTGGCACTGTGTTTCGATGATGAATTGAGTAATTAATTCTAGCTTTTGCTACAACTATGATACCGATCCTACCAATAAGCTCAATAATCCCACCATTTTAAACTACCAAAATAATGTTCAATCACTTCATTCTATCTGCCTTTGTAGCTAAGTCCTCCTTGTCGCACCCACCCGAGAGTTTCTTCAAGACCAATGTAGGTGAAGTTTCCGAAAGGGCTTATGGTTCGTATCTTTGTCGAGGTGATCTTAGTGCTAAAACATGTAGCAATTGCTTAGAGAAGGTAAGACAAGCTGTCTCGGATTATCGCATTGATTATGTCGCTTATGAACATTATTACTACCCATAGTGTATTGTGTACAACGTGGATTTGAAGTGCATAGTACACTATGCAAATAGCTCGAAACCGTCCATCAACACAACTATCGTCAGTGAAGAATCCTCGGATTACTTGAATAATCACCCACTTTACAACATGACATTGTCAAATAACATACAAGAACTCATCAGAGAAGCTGCCTATGGCAACTGGACCAAGTTTAATTTCGAGACCAAGACCATCGATGTAACGGGATCCGATGAGAAAATTAACATACTTGTTCAATGCACGCCTGATATATCTGCTATGAACTGCAGCAGCTGCTTAAGTGATTTGTACTATAGTCTTCGGCCTGACGGTGTAGGTGGAGGAATTTTCAGTTCTCATTGTTTGCTCAAGGACAATAATCAGCCTTTTTTTCGAACCAAAAAATAGTAATGAGACTAATAATAACGCTATCTTAAGTAATGCTTACCGTAGTTTTATGTCTAGTTATTTTCATTTGTACCTAATGTTGGTCTTGTTATTGACTATGTAAATATAACATTGTTTTCCACATTTATATATAAATCTCAATCATATTAACTTTTTTTGGCTCCACAATACCAATTGTAACGTCTTTGTTTATGAAAACAAGTTCATTATAAAAAGTGGAATCGCGTACTTAAACAATAATGAAATCAATTTTCCTTTGCTTTCTTATCTAATTTTTACGTCTTCTAATATTTTGAATAGCATTGTATCATTAGTCAGAAGATTTGGCATTAATCAATTAGTACTCTTATAATAGTTGGAGTAGTTGGACCATCTTAATCATTGCCGGCAATGGACTTGACTAACGATAAGATCAATGCCAAATTGCTAATAATAAATCTTAATTTAATCAATTTGCTATTAAGCTTTCAATAATACACCAGGACCACCGCGTTTTATATATAATAAGTTCTTTCTTTCTTAAGTACTCACATAAAAAATTGAGCATGTAAAGCAACTAGGCCAAGCAACACTATGAAACCGATAAACTCTTCCCTCGTTTTGATCTTCATCATAATGTTTTCATTCTACAATCGCGATACTAGTGCTGAAGATTTACACAGCTTTAATAGAGTATGTTACGGAATTTCCACAACCAGTAATAGTTCCACATACAACAACTTCAAAACAAATGTCTACTCACTTATCTCCATGCTTGCATCTAAGTCATCTTCATCGCCGAGCATTTTCTACAACACGTCTTCTGCTGCTGAAATTTATCCAAGGGCTTATGGATCTTACTTATGCCGTGGTGATCTAAAAGAACAAGTTTGTCAAAAATGCGTTTCTGATGTAACCGGATTCCTCTCACGAGCAGACATCACCAACTCAGATTGTTATGGCACCGGAGTCTACTATAACGATCCACAATGTATTGTACACTACGCAAACAGATCCACATTCGATGTGTACGAAAAGGGTAGATCACTTGATAGTGATTCGATAGGTGAGAAGGTTACTGACTACAATAACTACAACGAGAAATTATCGAGCACAATTCAAGGACTCATTAGAGAAGCCGAGTTGGGCAATTGGACACAACCTAATTTCGAGACAAGGGTAGTAGACGTAAAAGGATCTAATGATGAGAAAATTTATGTACTTGTTCAATGCACGCCTGATATAACCGCGTCGAATTGTAGTAATTGTTTAGGGGAATTATACTCGAGACTTCCTCATTGTTGCAATGGCACTCAAGGTGGATACGTTGCGTATGGTAATTGTTTGATCAAGTATAATAATCAATCTTTCTTTGGGAGAGCCTACCATAGTTTTTTGCCTAAATTGTGGCATGTTACATTGGTCTTGATAGTGACTTTGTACATTGTATTTATGGAATGTTAGTTCTTCAAGATTCAAATAGATAAATAAATAATTGGTCAATGTATGTTCGTTACTTATAGATGACAAATTTTTTTATTTTTTTTTAATGGTAGTTAAACTATAGTACTTTGTAGTTTGTACTGTATATTTATAAATTGGACTGACATTAATCAATACTTTTTTAATACGGCTCCCTTAATTTCTTGGTTAGCACAACTAAGCAAGCAGGATATCCACATGTACGTATATAAACCACATACTTCGTATTTCTTGATTCTGCGTTTAGTATATCCTGTTAAAATAAATTATACATACGATGACGATATAGAGGTGATCATGGGTTAGATGGGAGTATATCGAAGAAAGATAAGCCAAGTCAATATTTAAAAATGGATGGAAAAAGCATTATGGGCCGTAAATAACACTTATTAAAACATGTACTAGTACAAAGTTCTCAAATTTTGAACTCGGACTAGCTAGAAAACCTGATCCAACAATCCTATCCAAAACCCGAAGTTTATAAAGTTGTAAAACAATTTTTATGCTCGTATTGTTCAAAATCAGTGTTCGGCTGTATCTAGCTAGGACTACTACATTACGGGGTTTTTTTTTTTTTTTACCATGCATCAATCATGTCCCTTCATGGTAAAAATTAGTAATTAAAAAAAAAGAATTATAAATCTTTATTTCAGCAATATGGGTCAATGATATTGGAGTATTTGATAAAAATAAAAATAAGTTAAGGTGAATATGAGTCAATGCAACAATTAAAAAACTACTCCTTCCGTCCCAAAAAGAACGACCCGTTTGGGCTGATTACGCCGGTATTAAGGAAGTTAAGTAAAAAGAAGTAAAGTATATTGGAAAGATAAATTTACATGGGGTTTGTAAAAAAATAGAGAGCGAAAGTAATAAAATAACATGAAAAATCAAATTTTTATATGGAAAGCGAATTTTGCACAAATATTGTTGCAAATTAGTGGTGTTTTAATGCAAATGGGTCATTCTTTTTGGGACAAAGTTTTGGCCAAATGGGTCGTTCTTTTTGGGACGGAGGGAGTAATATAATTTAGACCAAATCAAGCTAAACAAAATTGTGATCAACAAACCAATTAAAAAAAATAATAATAATAAAGTGAAGTTAAAAAAAAAAATGGTCTTTTTTATCACTTCCCAAATTCATTCCTTCTTTTTTATTTCCAACTTTCCATTTTAAGGAAGACCCAAAAAATATTGAACATGCTACGTAATCATTGACTAAATTAGCATTAAATTTCACATTAATTAATTATAATTTACGATCCGATCTAATAAATACAAGAGTACTATAAAATAAGCATAACTTAAATTACAGGAAACTAGCAACTTGTGATTTAAAAGATTTGTACACCGTATATCACATGCAAAAATCTTCTTATGTCCAATACTATGAACCTTCCATTCAATCTCTACAAAATCCTCTGTTTTTTTCTAGTTGACTTTCCTCCTTAAACAACCAAAACCCAAGTTCAAATTGAACAACCATGGCATGTTCAATAAACTCTCTTCTCTTCCTTGTAACAATTATTGTTACATGCTCATGTATCAATATGACCTTTGGTGTCGAGGAAGTCGATTTCGATGGTGTTGGTAGAGTTTGCTATGGAAACTCAACGACTAACGATTCCACAAGTCAAGAATATCAAAACAATGTTAAATTACTTCTATCGGTGCTTGTTTCGGAGTCTTCTTCATTGCATCCACCAATGACTTTTATTAGTACGTCGGTAGGCAGGGTTGCGGAGAGGGCTTACGGTTCCTACCTTTGTCGAGGGGATCTAAGCGTAAGGCAATGTCACAATTGTTTAGTAAACTTGACAAATTTTATGTCGGATTTAAAGACTGACAATTCGGATTGTATTGGATTTGGCAGTTTTCTTTGGTGCATGGTACATTACTCAAATAGCTCAAAATTTTCGGCATATCAAGAGGGGCTTGTGTTTAGCTATAATTCAATTGGAAAAAATGTGTCCAACTATGAGCAATACAATGAGACGTTGTCTAACACGATGCAAGGACTCGTTACAGAAGCTAGTTATGGTAATTGGACCAAGGCTAATTTCGCGACTAGGTCTGTTGAGGTAACGGGGTCTCATGAGAAAATCTTTGCACTGGTTCAATGCGCGGCTGATTTATCTCCCTTGAATTGCAGTAAATGCTTAGGAGAATTGTATTCTTATATTCCAGATTGTTGCAATGGTTCTCAAGGTGGAATTCTTGTTCATGCTAATTGTTTGATGAAGTACAATAATCAGTCTTTCTTCGGTTTAGCTAGTCATAGTTTTATGCCAAGTTATATTCATGTGATATTTCTCTTGTTATTTACTATGCACTTCACAATTATGTGAACTTGCATATTTTTGTTCTCAAATTCATTATTCATAGCAGAATATACTTGTATGATTTCATTCTTTGTCTATGCTATTGATGAATCCTCTGTTTATCTAATATTAGAATGCTTGCGATTTGCATAACATGTACGATTAGAGTAAACGCAAAGTGGGTTGTCAACCCATGTGATACTCCATAATACAAAAAGTAAGAAGTAATACAAACTACGTAGAACGGTAGATGTATGTTTCAAGGAAATTAAAGAGGAATAGGAGAAAAAAAAATATGGGTCAAGCAGTAATTAAGAAACTAATGGAAAAGTTATGTGCTGTAATCATAGTTAAAAGCCTAATTAGAATAAGATAGTTAAAAGGTAAGTTTTTCAAATATTTAAGATTTGAATATTTTTCAAAGAGGAGACCCCCATTTATCTCCTAGATAAACAAAATTGGTAAATAAATGCATATGGAATTGTGTAAGTTATATAAAATAATATTAAATCTGAAAATAAAAAGGAAAAAGTTAAAAAAATGAAAGACCCACTAACTTAACAGTGTAAACTTTTTGAAGGCATGCCGTTATTAGTGTGAAGCCATGGAAGAGCTCAAAGAGGAAGAAGATGACGCCATTCCCCCCGACCTTCACCTTTCCTCTCCAAAATCCATCACAGCCACCACCGTCAAAGAGTCTCGTGTTCCACCGCCAACAATTCCTCCACAAACTAACTCCGTGACGCCGCTTCGCGGCTGTAGCCCGACCGGCCGAACAAATAAAAACCCTAATAGCAAAGTGTGTAAAGTAGGGCCATACAAACCCTTTAGGGAAAGCATCACCTAACTGCCGCTTTGCGGCTAAATCGGGCAGCCATTCCGCCATAAAAACATAAGAAAATGTAGATGAGGAGAGAGAAGAAAAACAAACCCCATAACCACCATATCTACCATCACCACCGTGCATCACCAATGATTGTTGACAGAATTTGCTGACGAAAATTACATTTTGATGATTTTTCCAGAAACAATTGTTTACCAAAGTGACAAAGAGTATTTGACGGAGTTGAATTTTCAGTTAATGTCAAATTTACATAAATAACCCCACTTTTACTGCATTTTTACGAAAGTACCCTGGGATATACTTGAATTGAGATAAACTTGAATTTTCTCCTTTTCAAAGCTCAAAGAAGACAACAAGTTACAAGACTCAACACACGTTTATTTGCGCCAAAAGGTATCATAGAAGGGCTGTTTATTAACAAAACAGGGGGTGATGTTGATGGGCCTTAGGTCCAGTTCCTAAAAAAGAAGCCCAAGAAATATGATACAATTATATATCTCAAAGTTTAATCTATCAATAGTTGACTGAGTGTGGTCTAAGCAAATTAGAATACCAAAAAAGTCAACTTCACCTTTTCATATACTCCCTCCGCTTTTTTTATTTAGTGATGCACGAAATTTTAGAAGAGTAATATATAATATTATGAGTTGATGAATAATTTATTATAGTAAAAGTTAGATGGGACCATGAAAGATAAAGAATGTAATGGAGAGTAAATATTTATAGGAAAATGTTATACATAGCTCTTAGGGCTACATATAAGAATTAAATTTACACTTAAAAATCATAAAAAGTTAAGAAATCATTAAAATATAAATACTAATAACACTGATTTACGCGTGTTTTTGTCATGAATTCCTAATTTTATACAATTTCCAAGAGCATATTTAATGCTTATATATAGCCCTTAGAGTTACATATAACATTACCCATATTTTTATTATATAAGTAGGGACCATGGAGGAGAGAGAAATGATAAAAATAATTTAAGTGAGTTTTAAAGTAAGAGAGAGAAATTATAAAGTTTAATATAAAGTTACCAAATAAGGAAGTGATACATTTATAAAAAAAAAAAACACCCATAAAAGGAAAGGGATGTATTTAAAAAAAATAGAGGGAGTATCTTTTTTTATCTTCTTTTTTTAATAAGAATAACATCAATGTTTAGTAGGTTGGAAAGTGTATGCATTGGTTCTTCCCTCAACTCCTCAAGGTATTCTGGCGGAAATTGACTTATTATAATGCATTTATATAAAAAAATAAATAAATAAACACCCATAAAAGGAAATAGATGCATTTTTTTAAAAAAACGGAGGGAGTATATTTTTTATCTTCTTTTTTAATAAGAATAACATCAATGTTTAGTAGTTTGGAAAGTGTATGTATTGGTTCTTTCCCTCAACTCCTCAAGGTATTCTAGCCTAGGCGGAAATTGACTTATTATGATAAAATGCCCGCTCTACCTCTTCTTCAACAAAAAAAATAATAAAAAACAATTATTTATTTATGATCTCCAAACAAAATAAATAACGTAGATGAACCCGAATTGATAGCTCTAGCTATCCGAAACCTCTAAAAATTCTCACAAAGCGTGGATATAGCCTTAAGTTGTTGAATTATTTGACTTTTTTTCGTCTGGAAATAAAAATTGCCGAAATGTTTACCATGGTATCTAATATCCTCCAGGAGTCCAATTGGGTGGGTGGAACCATCCAATTTGCCTTTAAATGACAAATTTACCAGTTTACAAATTGCGCCGATTTCATTAACTCAAGCCTACCACAAACATTTATGACAACATTTAATGATCATATACGGTTTCAAACGGCATTATATGACCCGAGATGTATCCCCTAAATTCTAAAGGCTTTTCGACACTGGGCCTCGATTACCGTTTTACAACTTGCGCCGATTTCATTAACTCAAGCCTACCACAAACATTTATGACAACATATAATGATCGTATACGGTTTCAAACAGCATTGTATGACCCCGAGATGTATCCCCTAAAATCTAAAGGCTTTTCGACACTGAGTCTCGAAATCTCCAAAATTTCTCAAAATGCATGGATATTAGCCTTCAATTTTGGAATTTTTTTTACTTTTCTTCGCGAAGAAATAAAAATTGCCGAAAATGTTTACCATGGTCCCTAATACCCTATGGGAGTCCAATTGGGTGGGTGGAACCATCAAATTTGCCTTTAAACAACCAATTTACCGTATACAACTTGCACTGATTTCAATAACTCAAGCCTACCACGAACATTTATGACAACATATAATGATCATTTATGGTTCCAAACGGCATTATATGACCCGAGATGTATCCCCTATAATCTCATTTCTATTCGACACCGGGCCACGAAACCTTGGATTTCTAAAAAAAACATGAATATTAGCTAGCCTTTAATTTTTGAATTTTTTAACTTTTTTCGCCTGAAAATAAAAATTGCCGAAATGTTTAACATGGTCCACAATACCCTCCTAGATTTCAATTGGGTAGGTGGAACCATCTAATTTGTCTTTAAACGACAAATTTACCGATTTACAACTTGCACTGATTTCATTAATTCAGGCCTACCACGAACATTTATAATAACAAATAATGATCATATATGGTTCCAAACGGCATTATATGAGCCCAAGATATATCCCTTAGAATTTCAATACTTTTCGACACCGGGCCCCGAAACCTCCAAAATTTCTCAAAAAGCGTGAATATAGCCTTCAATTTTGAATTTTTTTTTACTTTTTTCGCCCGGAAATAAAAAATGGCGAAACATTTACCATGGTTCCTAATACCCTCCGGGGGTCCAATTGGGTGGGTGGAACCTTCCAATTTTCCTTTAAACGACTAATTTACCGGTTTACAACTTGCACCTATTTCATTAATTCAAGCCTACCACGAACATTTATGACAACAAATAATGATCATATATGGTTCCAAACGACATTATATGACCCCAAGATGTATCTCATAGAATTTCAAGACTTTTCATCACCGGGCCCCGAAACCTCCAAAATTTCTCAAAAAGCGTGGATATTAGCCTTCAATTTTGGATTTTTTAAAACTTTTTTCACCCGGAAATAAAAATAGCCGAAATTTTTACCATGGTCCCTATTACCCTCCAGGAGTCCAATTGGGTGTGTGGAACCATTCAATTTGCTTTTAAACGGCTAATTTACCAGTTTACAACTTGCGCTGATTTATCAGTTTACAACAACCAATTTAATTAACTTGCACCGAACCCGACTCGACCTGAAATCTACCCGACTTGTTATTGACCTGACCCAAATTCAACCCGACTTGTTATTGACCCGACCCGAATTTTACCATACCTATTACTAACCCGACCCAAAAATTCAACCCGATCTGTTACTAACCCGACTCGAAATCAATACGACTTGTTATTGACCCGACCTAAATTCAACCCAAATTGTTCCTGACCCAATTTCAAATCACCTTAAATACAATCTAGACCACCTTATTATTGTTGATCAAAGCATTTGTCTTGGGAGACTAAGTCGGTCCAGGCCAGCAAAAGAAAGGAGCATCATCCTCAAATTTAAGAGTTAAATATATTATATATTTGTTGTATTATTGACTTGAATTGAACCCGACTTGAAACCGAGAATGATGCGACTTGAAAATGACCCGACCTGATTCTAACCCGCAAATTATTGGTTTGAATAGAACCCGACTCCAACCCGAGAATTACCCTAACCCGTTTTAACCCGTTTTAACCCGAATTAAACCCGACCTAGTGTTCACCCGACCCGAATGTAACCCGACCCAAACCTGATAAGAAGTATTACCCAACGTGATCCGTCTCAAGCATAACCCAACCCAAACCCAACCCGCATAGGTTATATGGAATTAATCTGAATTGACCCGACCCGACCCGACCCACTCTTAGCCGACCCAAACCTAATCCCGTTTACCCAAATTGGCCGCTCTACATACTTCAACCGCCACTACTAAAAATTGGCCAAATTGCGACCGGCGCAAACGGTCGCAAAAAATAGTAAAAACGATCGCAAAACATAATTGCGACCGTCAACGGTCGCAACATGGCGGTTGTTATTATCTTGGTCTCATACGACCGTTTGACGGTCGTAGATTTTTTACGGCCGTTTTCCCTATTTTCAACGACCGTTTCAAAAATGGTCGCAAATATTAGAAATTGCGATCGCCTTATGAAACGGTCGCAAATATTGAATTTAGTGACCGTCATAAGCCGTCGCTAAAAGTTATAAAAAAAAAAAAAAGAAAAGAAAAAACCCACCCACCCACACCCTTAACCCAGATCCCACCCACACCCTTAACCCAGATCCCACCCAAACCACCACCACTGCCCACCCTAAACAACCAGTAGCCGCCTCTGCCGCCCTCTACCCACCATTACCTTCGCCCACCAATACCCACCACCACTCACCCTTAACACAGAAAAACAGTAAAAAAAAAATCACCTACAAAAATCAAACAATTTCTAAAAAAAATCCAAATTTATCAAAACAATTAACCCACAAATAAAATGCTTAGAAATTAAACCAAAAAACGAACAAAAATTAAATAAAAAAAAATCGGCCAAAAATTCAACCCAAAAAAATAAACACAGAACAATTAAACCCACATAATTGAACAAAAAATTCGACAAAAAATCAAACAAAAAACGAAATAAAACCCTCATAAATCGAACCAAAATTCAACAATTAAACCCACCAATTCGAACCTTAATTCGACAAGTTCGACTTCAAAATCAAACCAAAAATCTATGAAATTCGAACAAATTCGAACAGAATTAACAAAAACTCAAAATAAAACCAAAATCAAAGGAATTGGAACAGAAACACAAACAAAAATCGATAAAAAAATCAAACAAACATGGAAATTCGAAGGGAAAACGAAATTCAACCACAAAATTTGAAAATAAACAAAATTTCGAAAAATAAACATACCTTTCATAATCTATCTTCCTCTTTAGGTTAATATGGTCAAATTCGACCAAGAATACTCCAGATCTGGAATTTTTAAGGTCGAATTTGACCATAAACACCAAACTAGCGTGTTGCTTTTAACGGTTGGCTTTGCTTGTGATGGTGGTTGCTCTATTTCATTCGGGTTGGTGAAGAGAAGAGATGCGAGAGAAGGAGAAAAAGATGAGGAGAAGAGGATTCATGAGATGAGGGTTGTTCACAAGGAGGTGGAAAGAGGAAAGAGAAGAGAGAGAAAGAAGAAGGGTGTGAGAAAAAGAGAGAGGAGAAGAGGATGCGTGAGGAGAGAGAGAGGATAGAGGATGCGTGTGACGGCTGTAGTTCTAATAGGGTTTGGGTGATCTCCTTATATACCCTTTTTTTAAAAAAATTAATAAAACACTTTTGCGACCGGTATGGCGGTCGTAATTTTGCGACCGTTTACCAAACGGTCGTAATTTACCCATTTTGCAACCGGTATGCCGGTCGTAATTTTGCGACCGTTTCTCAAACGGTCGTAAGTAACACATATTGCGACCGCTAATAACGGTCGTAACAGAATTAATTTAATTTTGAATAAATTTTCACATGAATTTTATTTTTTAAATTTATTTAATTACCTTTGCGACCGTTTTATAGCCCATAAACGGTCGTAATTTTGCGACCGCTTACAAAACGGTCGCAAATATCAATTTTTGCGACCGTTTTCATGACGGTCGTAGAAAAAACGGTCGCAATTCGACCGAATTTTAGTAGTGCGCTACTTGAGGTAGCGGTTTTACTCAAAAAAAAAACAAAAAAAAACTTATTCGAGCCTACGTGGACAGTAATTTCGTAAATAAGTTTCATTTCGACACAAAAGTGTAAATAAGTTTTAAAGTAATCATGTATTTGTAAATCATTGGTTGTTAGACTCTAAACTTATGTTGAGACCATGAAAATTTAGACAACCATAACACCACGTGAAAGAGTAGATCCTTGGCTAATTGGCAACTTAAGTCAACAAAATACAACTCAAGACTTTGCACCTTGGTTTGACTATTCTTTCTTTATAAAAAATGAAAGAGATCAGAGGCGACTTCTAATGGTCCATATAATATATCACTTACAACTCATAACACACATTCTATAATAGTTCTCCACGGCACTACCTTTGAAATTCCATCATCCAACGATTTATCCTTCATCCAAAATCAAAGACTTCCATTATTCCTTATATTATAAATTCACCCATACTTTTTCAAAAAATAAATTCTCCCATACTAAAAATATTGATACATGATATGATCAAGCATAGAACTATGGCACTAGCAAACTATTTTCTTTTCCTTGCATTTTTTTGCCAAATTAGTATTCTTTCCCTTGGTGCAAAAGAGAGCTCCGGGTCCGACGATGTTTACCAAATTGGCATAGGCGGCCCTGATTCTGAACTTAAAAACCCAAACTTTCTCAACAATGTAGATTCCCTCCTCTCCAACCTTATATCCGAGTCTTCACTCGGCTTCTTTAATACCTCTACGGGTGATGATGATTCCGATAGGGCTTATGGTTTTTACCTTTGTCGAGGAGATATTAGTGCTAACAAATGCAACAATTGCTTAAAGGACGTAAGACAATATCTCTTAAATCGACGCCCATTTGAATCATACTCCAACATCATTGCATATAACACGGATCTCCAATGTGTTGTACACTATGCAAACGACTCTAGACCATTCGTGTATAGAGAAAATAATACTTTCACCGGTGCTGGATTTGGAGACGACTTGGCACAAAACCAGCAGTACAACACGACGTTGATGAGTACGTTGCAAGAACTCGCTAGAGAAGCCAGCTACGGGAATTGGACAAAGGCTAATTTCGCGACAAAGGTGGTAGATGTAACGGGATCTCAGGAGAAAATTTATGTACTAGTTCAATGTACACCTGATATATCTGCTATGAACTGCAGCAATTGCATTAGTAATTTATATTCTACATTTCGGCCAGTTGCTATTGGTGGACGAGTTTTGGGTTTTAATTGTTTGATGAAATTCAATAACGAGCCTTTCTTTAGCAATGGCTACCGCAATTTCATGGCAAGCTATTTCCTTATGATCTTAGTTTTATTATCGACTACATACATTACTTTAATGTAAACTACAATGTATATATATATATGTAATTCTAGTTTCTAGCTTGTTTGTTTCATATACGCAACGGTTTCTGATATCTTATTGAAAAAAAATTCACATACTATACACATGAGTATCTATAACCAAACTCCTCATCTTGGTGTTGTTAAGATAAATTTTGATGGCTCTGTACATGGTGGCTCAGCCCTCAGGCGCTGCAAATGTAGTTATCAGAGAACACTTGGGTAATCATATTTGTAGTCGGTCTTATAATATTGGCACAAGTAAGCCAATTATTGTTGAGGCTACTGCCCTTCGTAATGACCTTCTTCTTGCACAGTCCCACATTTTTTCCCATATTTTTTTTATTAAAGGGGATAACTTACTTATAATTAATATTTTGCAAGGTAAAGCTCAGTACCGTTGGAAGATATTAGGAAAGTCCTTCGTCTTCTCTTTCGTCGAGTCCAAGCACATCTATAAAGAGGGCAATAGAGCAGCAGATTATGTTGTTTCTTTAGGTCATTTCATGCAAAAAAACACACCAAGATATTGATTAGTTTTTAGACAATAATTTTTTTTTTAAATTGCTTTAGATTGGTTACAGTCTTGAGAGAAGACTAGCCCAACTTCTTGTATATTTCCTTTAATATATAAAATATATACATATATCTAACCGAAGATATGGACAAAGTGAGGAAGGACGTCTACCATTAATACATTTACAAAAAATACTATAGATAAATGCTATACATAGCCCTTAGGGCTACATATAAGCATTAAATTTACACTTGAAAATCATAAAAATATAAAACACTAATTATACTAATTTACGCGTGTTTTTATTACGAATTTCTAATTTTATATAATTTTCAAGAGTGTATTTAATGTTATTATTATCAAATTTTTAAGGACATAAAAGTAATATTACAGATAAATTTAATTTTTTATAACAAGGGTAAAAACGTAATATCTTATTATAAATATGGGCGGTAACTGGAATTTTGAGGGCGACATTTAACGTTTCAACAAATTAAAGTACGAGTAATTTTTTTATTTTTTATTTACGGCTAATTTACAATGCTTCTGCTTGTCTTGTCAAAAAAAATACAATGCTTGTCGTGAAAAACAACATACTCCATTATCACTCCACCGCCCCACCGGGCACCGACATTCTGGCCAACTTATGTCTTCTGGTCAAACAGTAGCGCCGGTGATCGGTGGACTAATTCCGGCGAAATGTGAGTACCTCACATTTTCATTTGGGTAATGTTAAATGTTTATTCATTCTCTTTTATTCATAATCGTGGTTGAAATTCTTGTGTTTTTCCAATTAGTGTGATTCTCAGCCAATTAAACGTGTTAATTCTTTAGATTTTTGTTCATTGGTGGAATTTGCGGGGTTTTTGGGTACAATTATTGAACATTAATTGCAATGTAATTTTCAATTTTCTTACTTAGTTGTCATTTGAAATTATTGGAAAATTAATCTTCCGTTTGGTTGAATAATTTGTTTGCTATAATTATGTGACTACGTTTGATCGTGGTTGTGAAATTATTGATGTTTCTGAAAGAAGGGTTTTAGACTTTTAGCTAATAAAGAAGTTGAATAATGTAATTGAAGGTTAGAAAATCAAAGGGAATTGATTTAGGTGTATTATGCTGAAATATTAAATTATTGTGGGAAGAAAATTTTCAAAGAAGTTTCGTGTTTGATACGGAGGTTGAAGAGATTTATTTTAAAAATACCTCTAAGACCATCGTCACTCATGGTATAAAAATTGCATTGTTTTTGACGAGTTTTTACACCTGTGGTATAAAAATTATACCACGAGTGTTGATGCTCTAAGATGAGGCAAATTTGGTTTAAAACTTGTAATTGAGGCGAATGAGGTGGGATTCCGCAATGCTACCACTGTATGTTTGCTGATATGTCTCGGTGTTAAGATGAGTAGTGACAAGCTGTCTATAGAATTCATGATATATATTAGTGGAGAGGAACTTTGAATTTTGTAAGGCTTTTGCAATATCAAGGATGAAACTTTTGCGAGTTGTCCTATGAAGTAGTACTTCTATATGATAATCTGTGTCTCTTGCTTAATGGACTTAGAAATTTATGTGGAGTTGCAGCATCAGTTGAAGTGTGTGGTTTTACGGTTGTTGTGGCTGTTAGTATCCCCAATTACTGAAGGATCTCTCTAGTGTTGTTTGTGGGATTCCTATCTCCTTTGTCCATAATTCTGTCGTCTAGAGATTGATTGAGTTCATACATCTAATTATTGCTCCAAACCTTTCTGGTGTACATGTCTTCTTCTGAACCGTGTCTTGAGTTTGATTGACTTCTTTCAAGTGGAAATATAATCCTTATGATTTCCTCTGTTTTTCTCTGGTTTCATAATATATCAATGTCTTCCTATTCTTTTCCAACTTATTTGATGTTTTTAGGCAAAACTTTCAGAAATGACTTCATAATCATTTATTTATTTTCTACATATAATTGTATAATTTAACACCTGGTAGTTGGTATCAACTCCATGTATTTACTACTTGCAATTTATGCAGAGTTTGACCTGCATACGACAGCTTCAAGAACTTTCTACAGTCTGCTGCCGAATATATAGGTTTGACCTGCATACAACAGCTTCAAGAACTTTCTACAGTCTGCTGCCGAATATATAGGTTTGACCTGCATACAACAGCTTCAAGAACTGTCTACAACTGTTCTAAACTGTCATGTTATATTATTAGCAAACTACTTTGCATAAGACTTTCTAAAATCTTCTTTTTAATATATGTTCTATTATTTTGCCAGGTTTGTATGATGAGAATACTTGGTTTCACACATGTGTAGGTAGAGAGTCTAAGTGACAGCTGCACCGGATGATTACAAGACCATTTAAAATCAGATAAGTACTCCGTATTATTTTAATTTTTTTTTTTTTGGTATTTTGGAAAGCATGACTTTGGATGATTATAATAGCTCTTAGATATTAAAGGGCTCCAAATTGCAATAGTAAACAAAATACCAGTAGCACAAAATCTCAGACAGCACTGATGGAAATCCTGTTTGAGTTTTTTGCATTTTGAGTTTGGACTGGTGGACTTGGTGGTAATGCATGTTTTTATCAGTAGGTTATGCTCTTGTATGATGTCAGTCATCATCTGTATTTTAATAAATTTATAATCTTCTTAATTCTCTTTCAAGTAGTATTTTGCTCTCATATCCTTATCCGTCTTTCGGCCGACCCCACTTATGGGATTAAGGCTTTGATTAATTGATTGATCCTTATCCCTCTTTCTCATACCACCCTCATGTATGAAGCCTTGTTTTGTCGACCTTAGTTTCACTTATTTCAAATTTTTGATAAGGCTTATGAGGTTTACATAAGTTCAATTTGCAACTAAAATAGGTTCTCAATTAGAGGTTAGATAAGTTCACATAACGGTGTGTTTGGATTGAAAGAAATGAAGAAAAAGGAAGGGAAGGGAAATAGAGAGATAGAGTATCTTTCATTTGGATAACAAATGAAGAAGGAAGGGAATTGGAGGGGAGAAAAAAAAGGAGGAATTAAATTGTGGGAAATTGATCCCTCCAAAGAAATTTGGAAGGAAAACATACCATTTTTCCCTCTCCTCTTCTCTTGCCTCCCCTTCTTTTCCTTCCCCTTTCTTTATCCAAACACACTGTAAGTTTAAATAAGTTCAAGTGAATAGAATGTAACCTTGTTCTTCTTTTTCAATAGGGGAAGGAAAATGAATTCTTCCAATTCCTTCCCCTTCCCTTCTTGCATTGGATATACAAACAAAAGATGATGCATCCTTCCTTTTCTCTTCTCTTCCTTTCCTTTCATTTCTCTCTTTCCAAACTTTGTGTAAATTAGGCTAATGAAGTTGCTAGCCAATTCACAACTAGTTAGAGCTTTCTACCTTTTTTAATTTTAATTTATATTTTATACATGTATAATAGATATTAGTTTTCTCAAGACAATAAAAGCACAAGAAAATGTCCAATGCCAATTATTATTAGAGGGAATTGAAAATTTCTAATAAAAGTTTAGCACCTAGTCAATAAATCACTTGATTAATTATTCTAGCTCAGAACAGTCGCTTTTAAGGAAATTTAAACCCGTTGTCCTGTACTCTTTAATGTACTGTAACTCAGAACATACAAACAACAGAAAATAAATCAACATCAGCTACATCTTGATTACATTCAAGAAAACACATAACAAATGAAGCTATTATTTTTCAACTACGGAAGTACTTTTGTGTTGTAAGGTTGTGTATCTGTCCAATTTCTCTCAAATGGCTGTTGAAGAATCATATAATGATCATCTAAGGACCAAGAGTAAACAAAAGAAGTGTCTCAACTTGCAGACATAGATACTATTACAATTTAACATCAAGGCCAGGCTTGTTCTATAGCATATAAAAATATTTTAGTAGACTAAATCAAAAGGCGAGTGTTTCTTCATAGCACCTAGTCAGAGATATTAAACTATACATGTAACTGCATGATCTTCTCTAGATGTGGCTTAATGTGATGACCGTCACATTATTATTCCCTCAGTTCAGATTATTCTTTGGAAGACTAGATAATTAGTGGGTGTTTATTAGGCTTTCTTATACATTATAAAATTTTAGTCAAGTTGATGTTAAATTTTTTGAAATACTCTATTTTTGTAAATTAATAGTATTACAAATGTACTTCTATGAGTTCTATTCAAATTGAAACTAATATAAGGTTGAACTGTTCTACATTAACCATTGGTACTATCTTGCAGGCTATATATGTTAAAATACGTATTATGTTAGTAAATGAATAAAGTACTAATTGTTTGGTCTTTGCAAGCTAGCCTTCATGTTATTGATCACTTTCCTACTGTAGATTTTAGGCTGTCTAGCCCTTTTCTTCGTCTTCATGGGAAGGTTTATGTTTACTTTCACCTTACTAATATTGATTTGCTTTGGCCTACTCTATGGAGGTGACGCCGAGGTAACCTACGTTAACATTACTGGCTGTGCACCTGCAAAAGGTAATTATACCGATGGCAGCTTCTACCAACAAAATCTCAATCGTCTTTTCACCGATCTCTCATCTCATACCTCCTCCCAGAAGTTCTATGATTCAACTGTTGGCAGTATCCCCAACAAAGTTTACGGCTTGTACCAATGTCGTGAGGATGTTAGCTTCAATATCTGCAGTGAATGCATCCAAGCAGCAACCCAAAAGATAGTGGAAGTCTGCCCTTTGATGGTAGAGGCAACGGTTTGGTATTATGAATGTATGTTGAGATATGCAAACAGGTCTATTTTCTCCTCATATGAAACATATCCAGCGGCTTACCTTTGGAGCTTTAAATTCAATGTTTCAAACTATGGTGCATTTGCTCCAGTGCTTGCAAGAGAATTTAACAGCTTAATAAGACAAGCAGTAATCGGTACATCATCCGGACGTTTTGCTACCGGAGATGCCAAATGGGCAACTTTTGAACGAGTTTACTGCCTCGTTCAATGCACCCCTGATATAGATGACTTTGGGTGTAACAGCTGCTTGACAAGTGCTTTAAGCGACATGGCAGGCTGTTGTAATGCAAGTGCGAGGGTGTTTATCTTCAAGCCAAGCTGCCACTTGAGATATGATACCACAGAAAAATTCTATTTTGACATAAACCATGAATTACCAGCTCCTCCACCATCAAATGTGACTACAGGTTAGTCCTTATTCGATCTATTTTGTTTTTAAATGGAGTTGACATTGTTATTATGTTCTTATGATCATTTTTTCTATTTTATAAATTTTGGTAAAAGGAGAAACCTCTAATGAACCTCCTGAAGCAACCACTGGATTGAAGCGGCCAATAATTGTCGCGATAGCTGTTGGGGCATCCGTTGGATTTTTGCTGCTTCTTGTTGGTCTATGGTTGTGTATGCGGCCAAGTATGAGAAGAAAAGAATCTACGCCAACTCTTACACAAGCTCCACCACCTCAACAACTAGATAATGGTAACCCATTTAACATATTCTCCCTAGAACCTCATCCAATATGCTCCATTTGACTTTTAAGGCAAGACTCGTCATACTTTTTTTTTTTTTGAAATAAACTCTCCCTTGAATTTTTTTCTAAAAAATAAATTAGCTGAATTTCAACATCTAAAATACACTGGGGTACTTTTATTAGTAAAAAATTGCTCGTTGACTTTTCATATATTTTACTAACTATATATTTTTATATGGAGTACAGTTATTATATGCATTACTTGAGTTTGGACATTTAGGAGACACATCTTTTTATGATCAATATCGAAAATTTAATTATAAGAAGTAAATAATTAAAGTAGACATTGCGACCAATCTAACATTTTACACGAGCAACATTTATCCTAAAATTGATTGGTGATGAAGGTGATAGTCTGGGTGATATTGGAATAGTCCTAACTCAGATTTAAATTATTTTAATAGCTAATACAAAAAATCTGGATCAATCTTTTTTAATTTTTATTTTATTGTTATTCCCAATACAGTTAGAGGCGAAGAAGGTGATAGTCTGGGTGATACAGAGTTTGTGCAATATGATTTTGCTACTTTGAAGGATGCAACAAGTAACTTCTCAAGTGATAACAAGCTAGGAGAAGGCGGCTTTGGTGCTGTTTATATGGTAATACATCCTTTGTATAATACCATTGATCTAAATTGTACTCCTAGACTATATATTATCTTTAGTATTCTTTGTGGAAATTGATAGGGGACCCTGAATAGTGGACAAGTATTAGCTATAAAGAGGCTCTCTGGCAACTCGGGACAAGGTGCTAAGGAGTTCATGACCGAGGCTCGTCTTGTGGCCAAGCTTCAGCACAGGAATCTCGTCAAGCTGTTGGGATTCTGTTCTCAAGGAGATGAAAAACTACTTGTTTATGAGTTCTTGCCTAATTCAAGTGTTGATCGGTTCTTATTTGGTACTCTCTTTAAACTCCTTATTGTTTTGACTTTTCTCTTCTAAAAAAGCAATAGATAAAAGTCTACAGCATATATACTTCGTATATCTCTGTTGAAGGAAGTAGTTTTATTTATTTATTTATTGTTATTATTATTTTATGAATAATTGTTAAAGAAAGTAATTAAGCTGACATTTTTTTTAGTAAGTTTTTGAAGAAGAATAAAATACTACTCCGTACTTCATAATATGGATTATGTAATTTAAAACCATTAAACAAAAATATTGTTCAATTCTCAAATTGTGTAGCCCAATTTTCATTTTTTGTAAAAAACAAATAGTCAATTTTAAAATATAAGTTCAATCTTAAACTTCCCATATTACAGTTGATGGAAAGCTGTAATAGAAAATTTCAAAGGAAATATTCGAAGTACATGATTTGGTCAACAACGAAATATGGAGTATTATTTTGTTTTAAAAAGTCAATTCTTTTGTATTTGTTTGTTTGACAGAGCACTATATACTGTATATAGATGATTGAAAACTATTTGATTAACAAAAAACACAAAGTACAACATTTAGGCAAGATTTACATATCACAAAATGAAAGAAGCTAGATATTGATAAGTGTGGTTTCTTAATTAAGCTACATGAAGTATTAAAACATCTAAATGTTCACTAAATATTTTGAAAATAAACATGATTATTCTTGTAGATATTACTCTTCACTTGCTTAGATTTGTAGCCATGAGTCCGGTGAAAATGATAATCATGACATAGATACTCCAAATGACTTATTTGCATTGTGTTTGTGTGTATTCATGTGACTATAGATCCAAGAAAACGAGGAACACTAGATTGGGAAACACGGTACAAAATCATAATGGGGGTAGCAAGAGGACTTCAGTATCTTCATGAAGACTCCCGCCTTACAATTATACATCGTGATCTTAAACCCAACAACATTTTATTAGATAAGGACATGAATCCCAAAATAGGTGATTTTGGCATGGCAAAGCTTTTTGGAAGGGAACAAAAGTTTGGAAATACCAGCCAAATTGTCGGAACACAGTATGCTTTTATTGCCCTCTTGCTTCATTCAAAACTTGCCTAAAATCTTTGTTATTAATTGCTCAACTTCGCATTTGCCATGATATTTATTTCTAAATTATCTTATATGTAAACATCTTATACTGTTGTGGTGCATGCAGTGGATACATGGCACCAGAGTACATGTTAACAGGGGAGTATTCTGATAAATCTGATGTTTATAGTTTCGGCATCATAATTCTAGAGCTCATCAGCGGTCTGAAGAACAGATTACATTACCAGTCTTCACACATGGAAGATATTCCAGTTCTTGTATGTCTAGCTCACTCGCATGAAACTCTTAATTTCTAGTCCTTAATTCTGTATCATCTATAAAGTATGGTTAACATGTGTTTTTCTACTCTTTCTTTCGAAGGCATGGAGACTGTGGAATGCAGGGCGATCTTTGGAACTATTAGATTCAACATTATTGCATGACAATTATACAAGAAATGAAGTATTGAAGTGCATCCAAATTGGGTTGTTATGTGTTCAAGGAAGTGCGGTACGACGACCTACAATGGCAGCAGTAGTTTTAATGCTTAATGGTTCTGTCACCCTACCATTACCCTCAACACCTATAATCTCTCCCCATCAGTTTAATGATGGACAGCAAACTGATTCAACTGCGGCTGATCAATCCATGTCCAAGTCTGTAACCTGGGATGCAGAAGTCGAGCGGGATTTATACCCGAGATAGACATGGGGGTTGCACCATTTGAATACTTTAGTTTGAAGACACAAAAGGTATCATACTTTGATGAATGCTGTAGTACATGTGATATAATTTGATTTGGCTCTCTCACTATCTGTTGTATGATATCTTGAGTTGTGTTTATGATCAAAAAATTTTCTGAACATTCCTTGAATTCTAATTGAACAAAAGCGTGGCAGTGTGAGTTATTGTTTTGTGTTACTACTACTAAAATTGTATACACATGTACGTAAATTTAAACTGTCGTCGCTTTTTACGGTGTTGTAGTATGGAGTATATAATTAAAGGTATTAATGGTTAAAACATATATTGAAACTGTATAGAGCAAATGTTAAGGTTATTGTAAAATAGAGCAAATGTTAAGTTCACTACTCAACTTCGCGTATTTTGCCTTGTATTATACTCTCTATTTTTCCATCTACTATGATGTAAATTTTAGGCATGGAGTTTATGGAAGAGCAACTCAACATTCGACTTGGTAGATCCTAGACTTAATGCAATGGGACCAATGAGTTGTTAAAGTTATCCTTACATCGACCGTCTTACAATAAAACTAGAGTAAATACGCCTTATACAAGAGTTATTAATTGTATTTTAAATACTAATCACACAAAAATAAATAAATAAATAAAGAAAGATTCTTTGATTGTGAAAGAGCCCATGTACAACAATACAAGACTTCATAATTAAACCCAAACCAAACAACTCATTGGTCCCATTGCATTAATATTAATCCTTGGTTACCAATAAGTGAACGCCGGAACATTAGTAACAATCAAGAACAAGTAGCTCATTTCACAGTGAGTCTGCGAAAGAGCATGAACGATTTAGCGATTTTGACAGCTAATGACTCGTCTCCTAGAGGAAAGTTTCAAATGAGAGTGGCTAATATAACAGGATTTGGGAAATTGTACGAAATGTCACAATGTGTACCAGATTTAACCGCAAAGGATTGCCACGTTTGCTTAATGACCGCGATTGAGAGGGTTGCAGTAAGCGTGAGTGCGCGTGCCTTGTTGCCTAGTTGTGTTAGTTGTATGGTATCAAACAACTCCCTTCTACAACTCTTCAGCAATAACATATCCGTTCTTCAACTCAACCTCGGCGACACGTCAACCCACAACTAATTTGGGTAAGAGCAAACACTCCGGCTGGTAATTATTGGTTAAATTTTTATTATGAATTATTTGGTTATGATTGATTTATTATTGATAAGTTTTGATTGTTTTGTTTATAGTGGTGGTCATACATATTTTTGTTTAACTTGGGTGTTGTTCAAAGGAAATAAAGTGGTTGTAAAAGACTTCAAATGAAGGATGATGTAGGAGGCTAACTAAGGGATTGATGGCGAAAACTTTTATAAAAGGAAATGATAAAACATTATATATCGAGTACTACATTTATTTATTTATTTTATATCGAGTAATTATGAATTTAGGAAGTGTATCTTATACTTTACTCAAAAAAAAAAAAAAAGTGTTTCTTAATAACTTATACTTAAAAAAAAATGAAGAAAGTCCTTTAGATAATTTTGAATTTAGGAAGGAAATCCACTTCACTTATATAAACAAGCTCAGAGAAGCACACAATATGTGCGTCCGCAATATAAATAATCTATCAAGCTCAATTCTTTGTTTTGTTCTACGATATTATCTCCTTCATTCTAATTAAAAAAAATTAGTGGATAGATATTATTAGTGGGTTTGAAAATTCTTGATAATATATATTTTTTTTTAAAATATGTTGATGATGTCATGTAGGATAAATAATATATTTTGACTTCCCTCAAAAAATATAATTAAAATAGAAAATATGGATTTTATTTATTTATTTATTTTTATCTAAGATGGTAGATTTTCTTTAAAGGATATGTTTTTTTTATAAGTTTTTTTTTATTTTTTTATTTTTTTTATTAAAGAAAAAACATGAGAAGGTTGGGGTATTTTGGGAAAGTAAAATTTATCAGCCAAAACCCTTTTCGCTTTATATATAGGTAATTATTTTTTTATAGGATTACTAATTAGTTAATTACCCTCCAGAACCTCTACCATAATTTTTGAAAATGAACAGTTAACTTTTATTTATTTATTTTGGAATTAACTTCAAATGTTAATATTTATTAAAATTAATTCAATTAATTCCTGAAAAAATTATTTAATTTTATAATTTTAAATATATTAATAACAAAAACTAATTTTCATTAATTAATTAGATAAAAAAAATCAAAAATCAAAATAAATTTTTTCCAAAAAATGTAAAATGAATTTCTAAAATAAGGAAAATCAATTTTAATTAATTTAAGTATTTAAAAATCTGTAAATTAAACCATTTGTGCAGAAAAATGAGGCTTTTCTTTTAGAGATTAAAGGATATTTATTTATTTATTTTATTATTTTTGTTTTTTCAAACAAAGTTGTTTGGAGACTTGGAGTTGACAACAGTAAAGAATTGGAAATCAAATCCAAGCGGCAACATATTTGACCCATTGATTTATGGACATGTTATGTAGGGGCTATATATAAGAAGCTAATAATGGAAAACAAATGAAAATATAATATGTATTATACTGATTTGCGCGTAATTTTATCATGCATTTTTCCAACCAAATAAGGAAAGTTATTAAATAATTATTCATAACCCTTAGGGCTACATATAGTATTACCCTATATTTATTTTCATTCTTTCCAACCATTTTCTAGCACTATATTTCAAAGGATTATTTAAGATAAACATATTGATTCTTGACAATGATTGTCACCCAAAACAAGAATCTCTTAAATCCTCAAAATAAAGCATATAATAAAACAGAAATCAGTCCAAAATCACATGCAGACTACGTCAAAGGTTTTAATATTTATTACTTTATTAGATACTTTTTTTTATATATTTGGATGTATAATAGTTATGAGCATCGAAGCGGTCAAGATCGGCATTAAATGCTTGTTTTCTTATTTATCCTTAGAAACTATCCAAACGAAAGATGTACGGTGTACGTAGGTTCTAGAGATCGGCCATCTCAAGGCGGCAAAGTTAATCGATCGAATACAACAACGAGGAGGTTAGCGAGTGACGCGTCGCTTATATTTATCACAAGATTTCTTTTGAATTGACAACGAGACTACTAAGAATAATGAAGACGACAACAATGTAAGCTAAGATTTGGTGTCGTCTTCATTTTTTTTACACTTGCAATTTTTAATATTCATAGCCACATTTTGTAGTACACATAAAAAAATGTCGAGACTGTATATATTATTGTTTACCATCCTACCCTTTCCAATTGTTATTGCTACAACACACAATGCGCTCTATATTGGCTACAATTGCACAGGCAGTGCAAATTCGTCACTTGATAGTAATCGAGCCTCATCTTTGTACCTGTACAACCTATATAATTTGCTAGGAAATTTTGCTTCCCATGCCTCAAGCGCGGCTTATTATAACTCTTTACTAGGCCAAACCCCCAATCGAGTTTATGCTATATACATTTGTCGGTTTGACCAAACTGCTCGAGGTTGTAATGCTTGTATCAATCAAGCCAAAGATCGGATCCTCAAGGCGTGCCCCTACCAAACGGAGGCTATTATTTGGTACGAAAATTGTATGATCCGTTATTCCAAGTACTCTTTTTTTGGCAGAATGGATGTATCGCCCTGGATAGCAATATCAACGCCGCAAAACAATACTAGAGATAAAGTAGTCCACTTCGAGAAATATATGCGGAGAAGCATGTATGATTTGGCTCTATCGACAGTTGATAACTCGTCTCCAAAGACGAGGTTTAAAATGAGAGTGGTTAATATAACAGGATTTGGGAGCTTGTATGAGATGGCACAGTGTGTGCCTGAAATTACTACCAAGGATTGTCATCTCTGCCTAACGATTGCTATTGGGAGGCTCGCAAATATAAGCACCAGTGCTCGCGTCTTGTTGCCTAGTTGTATTGTTTGGTATCACACGGCTCCCTTATATAACTCTTCAGCAATAACTTACCCGTTTTTCAACTCATCCTCGGCGACACACCCACCAAACACAAAGATTAAGGCTCCAACCGGTAAAAGTTGATTAAATTTATGTAAGAGTACAACATAGTATAGAGATAACATGTACAATAGTATCATAACAAGTATACTCGCTCGATCTAATTTAATATGTTTGATTTTGCTTCACCAAATTGAAATTTCATATAATTCGACTATACAGGAAGGAAGAAAAGATCTTCACATATTGTCGAAGCAATTTGTGTACCAATAGTTGTAGCAATCTTGCTTTTCTCCGGTGCTTGGTTTTGTATCTATCGTCGTAAGCACTCAAAACCATCTTCAGGTAATTTAATTCAACTTCCAGATTTATTATGTGTAAGAGTATAATCTTAAGTTAAATTACCACCATTACTAAACAATTTTATATTTTGAACCAAATTTTAAGCTTATTATACCATGTATGTCTTTCTACTTATTATTACAGATATGGAAGATATTGCTGGACTAGAGTCATTACAATTTGAGTTCAAGGTGATTAAAGCCGCGACAAATAACTTTTCCCCAAGTAATAAACTTGGACAAGGCGGATTTGGTGTGGTTTATAAGGTACAACTTTACATTTCCGTTTTTTGGGTGTACGTGTTTGCTAACCTATAACTTTAACCATCAACATACTTCGTATATGATTATTCATAAGCAAACCTTTATTTTTGGTTCAATCATATTTTTTATATTTATATCTTTCATTAAGAGTGAACCATGTTTCTTGTAACCATGTTTAATATCGCCGCCTTGGTAGGGAAAACTTCAAGATGAGCAAGAAATAGCAGTAAAAAGGTTGTCAATATATTCCGGGCAAGGCATATCAGAGTTCAAGACAGAGATTCTTGTAGCAGCAAAGCTTCAGCATAATAATCTGGCTAAACTATTAGGATTTAGCTTACATGGAGAAGAGAAGTTACTTATCTATGAATTACTGCCTAATGCAAGTCTCGACAAGGTCTTATCTGGTATAATTATCTCATGAGTTAAACTATCAACTCTTTTTTTTTATCCTAGACAGCTAATTTGTATATTAAAAATCTTGTATTTCATATTTTCATAACATGTTCTATATCAATTGTAGGCCAAAATAGTGTATCACTAGATTGGGAAACCCGGTACAAGATCTTACTTGGGACGGCCAGGGGACTATTATACCTCCATGAAGATTCGAGGCTAAAGATTATTCATCGAGATCTAAAATCTAGCAATATTCTTTTAGATGAAACTATGAACCCAAAGATTACAGATTTTGGATTAGCAAGACTTGTTGGAAGGGATCAAATTCACGCTGACACGAGTAAAATCGCTGGAACATAGTAAGTATATTATTACATGATGAATTTCTTAATTGATGGTACAAGTTTTATTTCAAACCATCAAACTTTGTTACATTCTATGACTACAGTGGATACATGGCTCCGGAGTATGCATTAACGGGGCGTTTCTCGGTCATGTCAGACGCCTATAGCTTCGGAATAATAGCTCTGGAGATAATAAGTGGTCATATGTGTAGCTCAGTTGCCTTCCCTTATCATGAAGAAAGTCTACCTCTACGAGTAAGTTCACTACTCAACTTCGCGTATTTTGCCTTATTATATATAATGGACATATATTTTCAATCTAAACTTCAAATTATTATGTTTGATTTTAGGCATGGAATTTATGGAAGAGCAACTCAACAATGGACTTGGTAGATCCTAGACTTCAAGGAAAATTTCCGGGCCACGAAATGGAACGATGCATCCATATTAGCTTGCTTTGTATACAAGAAGATTCAAACAAGAGGCTAACAATGGCAACGATAGTGTCGGCACTCAATGGCCACCAAGTAGCTCTTTCGGAACCGGAACCGCCTTTGATTGGTCCATCAACCAACATTACATTTGGCTTACACCAAAATATGGGTGTATCATCTTCTGGTGAATTTCTTTCTAATAGTGATAACATAACAGAAGTTTATCCTCGGTAGAGTAAGGGATTTGTAGAATACTGTATATTTTCTTCCCTATCAAAAATGTTTCTCTTAAATCACAAATGATAGAGCCAAAATTGTATAAAAATTATACTACCTTCGATTTTTTTTTTTTTTAATTGCAACTTTAGAATATTTTATATCTAAAAAAGTTGCAACTAAAAAAAAAAAAAATCAAAGATAGTATATATATCATTATTGTCTTACTCACATATTGTTTATCCTATTGTGAATTAATAATATTCAAAAGAACTAAGAAAGGTGGAACATTGCATGCATGCTTGGTTAATATGTACATCCATGATAGGATGGTCGAAGGAGTATTGGAGTTGTCACAATTTATAATCATATCAACTATCATTTTACATTGCTCGTATTAACTTGTTACTTTTATATTCACATAATTATATATATATATATATATATATATATATATATATATATATATATATATATATATATATATATATATATATATATATATATATATATATATATATATATATAATTGTAAGACTCAATGTGGACAAAAAATTAATTATGTGACTTTATTTTGGAACTCCCCAGTCTAGGCTAAGTAATACTAATGAGGTCGAAAACTATTAACCATAAATCCATGATCGAATTAAATGGATCATGTTTAGCCTTTTTCTTCAGTTTGTTATCGTCATATTTATATCACATTCCACAATTTTGTCATATGCTAATCCGAATGGGAAAACAAAAAAAGTCAATAGGTGTAGTTAGTGGACTGATAGACATTACTTTTTTTTATAATTTATTTTGGCAAAGACTGATATAGACGTTAAAACAATTGAACTATCTTAGTCCATATGTTTTCCCTAAATCATCAGTTTACACAATATTTTCCCAATTTCCCTATATTTAATACCATACTCTGTACTTGTTACTCCCTTTGTTTTCAAATACTTGCTCCACTTTTCATTTTCTGTCGTTTTTAAAATACTTGCTATATTTCCTTATTTGAAAAGATTTTACAATATTTAATTCAATTCTATCAACTAGTGGACCAAACCTAAATCTTTTATATTAATTTCATATTTTCTCTTCTCCAATTCTCCTAACTACTTTTACTTTTTACATTTTTTAATTCTTCCACCTACCCCACTACCTCCATATTTTAGTACTTTCATCAACTTCTCCTAAATCTCCACGTATAGAGAAATATAACAAGTATTTAAAAATGGATGGAGTATCAATTATGCCTTATAAATCTGTGTATTTATATTTTATACTCATATGCTTTTATGGAAACACTCAATGAACAATCTGTGTGAAAAGGATAATAAAGGTTATGATGCTTTAAAATTTATAAAAATAATTGACGAGCCCCACCTAAAATAAAGTTTTATCTAGAAATAGAGGGAGTATATCGTCACAAACTTTAATTATTCCGTGTATATTATCAATATTCTATTACCTCGAAAATTTTCAAATTAATGGTCACACTGAAGGAAAATTTTAATCCTAAGAGGACCATATAATATTACAATCATTATCACTATCAACTTTAAGGCTATGACGTATAACACCTAACCCAACCTTATATGAGTTATTGTATCATTTCAACTTGCAACTGTACATACTATATTTATTCGAATACACAATTTTGTTCATATTTTCCCACTATTATCTTATTCATTCTAATATGTATATGAAGAGGCAACTTTTTGTTTCGACCTTAATATTGGGTGTTCTATACCAACTTTTAAGTAGTGTTTATGCGGTGGTTGTCTTTGAGTATAATTGGTGTTCTCCCAATTATGGTAATTACACCCAAGGAAGTGTCTACCATCAAAACCTTAATCATCTTTTTTCAAACCTCTCATCTCAAACTTTGTCTCGTCGATTTTATAACACCACTAGTGGCGATTATCCTAACAAAGTGTATGGAATCTATCAATGTCGAGAAGATTTTACCCTAGAGGTATGCAACCAGTGTATCGATGATGCAACACAAAAAATTACAGAAATGTGCCCTTTATATGTCGAAAGTATAGTGTGGTACGATGAATGTATGTTACGGTATGCAAACCGTTCCATATTCTCTTTGAGCGAGACATCTCCATCTTCTGATGCATGGTATACGGATACTGTCCCTAACTACGAGGAATTTGTCCCGGTGATAGAGAAGACGACGAAGGCCATTATTAGTCAAGCTGCTCGTACTACTGCTCGAGGACATTTTGCTAGCACATATGCCAATTATACGTCGATCCATAGAGTGTACAACTTTGCTATGTGCACCCCCGATATAGATGAGGTCGAATGTAAGAATTGCTTATTGATTGCTTCGAAAAAGTTATCTACATATTATAACGAAAGTAAGGGGGTGACGAGCTTCTTACCTAGCTGCCAATTAGGCTATGATACCGCGATTAATCAGATGACGCATGTACCACTGACTCCAGACCAAGCTCAAGCTCCCGGTCAACCTCCAAGTCCGGCTCCAAGTAAGGCTCTATAAGATTGATCTATGTTTTTTTTTTCAAGTTTTTTGAGAACTGTATTGTAAGAGTTGGTAAATATTTTTTTTTACGTCTTTTTGCAACCATGTGGGGTAGGAAACTAAAGTAGAGAGGTAGTGTTTGGGTAGTTTTTTTTATGAAAATGAAATTATACAGCTTTTTATGGACCCATTGGAGAAAAAATTAGTTAGGTAATCTTTTAGACAAGAAGGGAATATCAACAATAATGAGGCGTGATGGGTCGCTATCAATATGGTCAATACCAAGAGATGAAAATAATATAAAAATCAATAATAACAGAATAAAAATTAATAATAACATTATAATTAAAAAAAATACGCTCTTTTCTCTTTCCCTCTTTCTTAATCGAAAATCTTGCTAAAATATAATAATAACAATATAGAATAAGAATAATAGTATAAAATAAAAAATGACAGTATATTTATTAATGATAACCGTATAAATAAAAATAAAAATAAAGTACAGTACTTATTATGGAGGGTCTATACTTACTCAACAATAGTTGATAAAGAGAGGGGGCCGGGGGGTTATGACTATGGGGCGATATACATATAGTTGTAAATAGAAAATATTTAAGAGGCGTAAATGCAATGGTCCCTCTAAAAATAAGTTTGAACGAGTCCAACTACTTGTTATTGACCCACATATCTTATATTTTGAATAGTCCACAGTAAGAAGTGATGGGGTAGGTAGAGAAATAACTTTATAGGAGATAAAGATTATCCCATCTGAACCCGACTTGTTAAGATCTTGAACAAAATTATGCTGACCCGACTTTACCGGACTAACCAAACTCAAACCTAGATGAGACATGACGACAATCATAGCACCAGGTAACATACTTAGGTTGACAATTTTAATTTGGCTATGTTTGTTTGACAATGAACAACTTTGATATTTTTAACACAAAATTACTAATATTATTAAAAGTTGATATTTTGAACTTATTAAATCAAACAAATTTAATAAGATTATTTTTTTTTATTCGGTAAATAATTAATTATTGATTTTCAATATGATGTATGTACATGGTGTGTCAAAAGTCAATATTGCTTCACATACCTCAAAATGCACCACAAGTCTATCTACTAATAGCATACTAGCTAGTACGTCAACACGGCTGAAAATAAATAGATCCTGTCAAGAATGACATCATGGTTGGCGAGAATTAGCCAAAAATCTTGTTTGTTTACACTTTGCTTTTGCAACTTTTTGGTGTCGATGCAGCGGTTACCTTCGAAGTTTACGAGTGTTCTTCAACAAATGGTAATTACACCAACGGAAGTGCCTACCAACATAATCTCAATCGCCTTTTTTCGAGTCTATCCACCAAGACATCTACTCGGAGGTTTTACAACACCACTACCGGCAATTTTCCAAGCAAAGTGTATGCAATCTATCAATGTCGAGAGGATCTAGGCTTAGACATTTGTAGTGAGTGTACCAAAGAAGCAACAAAAAAAATTACGCAATTATGTCCATTTTATAGTGAAGCTATTGTATGGTACGACGAATGTATGTTAAGGTATGCAAACCGTTCTATTTTCTCCTTGAGCGAGACAAATCCATCAAGGGCGTCATGGTACGATGGTATAGTCTCGAACTATGACAAGTTTGGTCCATTAGTGGAAAAAACAATGAATAACATGGTAACTGAAGCTTCTAGTGTCACTTCTCGAGGACATTTTGCTAACACATACGCCGATTGGACATTGATCGATAGGATGTACTGCTTCGCTATGTGCACTCGCGATATAGATGAGTTTGGTTGTAAGAACTGCTTGAGTACTGGTATATCAGAAATATCTGGATATTATAACATAAGTAAAGGGGTGACAGTGTTCTATCCAAGCTGTCAATTAGGTTATGATACGAAACTCGATCAAATGAAACATGTACCACTTGTACTAGCTCCAGCTCCAGCTCCTGCTCAAGCTCAAGACCAAATTCAAGGTTAGACCTTTAACGAATATATATTGCAAGTAGATTTTGCTTAAATTGACTTGAGGAAAATTTTCTTATGATGCAATATTTTTTGTATAGAAAGGCGGAAAAGATCATCATCTCATATTGTTGTAGCAATTAGTGTTCCATTAATTCTAGTAGTCTTGCTTCTCTCAAGTGCCGGTTTTTGTGTCTACCGTCACAAACGCAAAAATCCTTCTCCAGGTAATTGTAAGTCTTTGTCGACGATCTTCTATAGTCATCACCGAAACAAATCCAACAAGATCTCAAGTACGTGTCTTTAATTTGCCACAGATGAAGAGATTGTTGGTGTAGAGTCATTGCAATTCAATTTCAAGACAATAAGAGATGCAACAGATAACTTTTCCGAGCATAATAAACTTGGCCAAGGTGGATTTGGTAGCGTTTACAAGGTACATTCTTCTTCACAACTAGTCCCTTCGATCAATATATATCCCTCCTCAAAGTTTTGATTTACCGAAAATAGTGTAACGAAGGTAAATTATCATACTTGTACTTTATAATATACTTTTTATCTCAAGTTGGTAACTAATATACTATAATTTATTATTTGTTCATAAATTTTTTTGATTAAAGTGATAAATTCATGTTTATTTTTATGTATCTACTTTCATAGGGA